ACTGCTTAGACGTCACTTGCAGTGAAGACAGCTCTGATTGGTTTCCCTGCAAATGTATGTCATATCTAATAAGTGCTATGTAATGTGTAATTATTATGCTTTAAACATACCAATACACACACACACACACACACACACACAAAGAGATTTTTATTTATGAATGTGAAATAATAAATTGTGCAATATTACAGCAAAATATGTTTAAAAGCTGCATAGATACTATTCAAAGAAATAATAAAGTAATTAAGAAGTATTTAAAAAATAAAGTAATTCCAACCTGTGAATTCACGTTTTCACAATTTTTACATTGCATAATAATGACCCCCCCCCCAAAAAAAATTAATTACTTAGGGGTTGTTTTAAGACTTTTTATAATTAAAGAATATGTAGTTTTGATGCAATAAATATGTAGTTTTAATATTAAATTAATAAATTAATAATAAATTGTTAGTGAAATGTTACGTTATATGTATGGTGGATGAAGTAGACACTGTTTATTGATCCAACTACTTGAGACCATTCACATTTCATGATAAACTAAATAATTTACAGTTAAAAGTTAAACACAAGCCACAAAAAAAGCACAAAAGTCTATATAAATATATTATGAAATATATTTTAAGAATGCATTTAAAATGGCTGGCAATCAATTGTCAGGCGAGTGTCCTACCACTTCTAATGGTCAGTGATTAACTCCCATCCATGTTAACACTCCATTGCTCCATCTCTTTATTTGCACATGGAAAGGATTTATCCAGCAGCATGCAGAGCTGATCATATGTAGTTTAGAGGTCTGTAACTCGGGCAAAGCTGCTGAGTTTGCTGAGTTCATATAAAATATGAAAGCTTTATTGAAAATTCACAGGTTTTTGGACCAATTCAGAAGTGGGAAGTTGTTCTGAAATATTTATTATTAAAAAAAATACAAACATGACATGACCCAAAAAATAAAATGTAGAGAAACAAACAGTACAAATGATATGTATGTAAATGTTTTCAGGCACAGCCTTGAATCACGCTGCCGGCAGAACAGTTCCACTGCTCGTCATCCAGCGGCTCATGCATACGTCTGCACTGCAGCTCTCCAGACGCAGCGTCAGTGAAGGAGCTCTTAGAGAAGTTCACCCACTCTCCGGTGACGTTTACTCCGTACACCTGGCACAGCTCAGCAGCCAGCGTGTCTTTCAGAAAGAGGAGGCGTGCCAGTCTCTGGAGCGGGTAGCGGCAGTTTCGGCTGCTGTGTCCGTGGCTGTAGAGCAGGAGCAGGTCTGTCCTGCAGGGCAGCAGGTGTCGGTGAACGGCACATACCTGGATGAAGTCCAGTCTCTGGGCTAGACGGAGGAGCCGAACTGGATTGCACTCCATATGTGCTCTGCTTACGGCCAGAGCCAGCCGAACAGCCGGAGAGCTGCGGATTCTCTCGGGCAGCTCAAGAACATGTTGAATGGCTTCAGTTGAACCTGAGCGCATGAAGAAAATATGTGAAAGTTTATCTGTTTATCTCCATTAGTGGTTTTTGCCATATTTACACTTGAGAGTGAAAAAGTAAAATATGGTGATGTGAAAATAGTGGAATGTGTGGGGAAAAATTTATGCAAATGAGAAAAAAAAACTAAATACACAGTGTTATTTTAGTGTTATTTAAGCAATATGCCCATGAAGTCATGGTTTACAGTGTATTTACATCATGGAGCAGAGTGCCTAAAACCCCCTTAGCTGTTCTGAATCGGGTGTGCCTCACACGTCCTGAAAAGTGAAGCTGCGGGCTCTTTGATCGCCCACGGGTGGCTGGCTGCAGTACAGGTCATAAACCCCACCCTCTCAATGTAAAGGAATGGGACTTGAGTCAAAATAAAAAAATAAATTACACTTCCAATACAATTTTCCGAAAGATGGTTTTGGTCATTTAAGGTAGTTGATATCATGCTGATATATGTTCAATTGTTCGTTTTTGTAATAAGTTTGATTTTAGCTAGTAATTTGATGCTATAAAAAAGGGGCGTGTCGTTATGGTTTGATACCGCGGCTCCACCTCACGACACTACTGCGCAGACTCTGGCTCCAAACGAATCTCTACTGCGCAGACTCTGCTCTACTGCGCAGACTCTGGCTCCAAACTAATCTCTACTGCGCAGACTCTGGCTCCAAATGACGTCATTTACTCAAGATGGCAGCAGCCATACTCAGATGCTTTGGCTTCACTTTTCTATAGTGGAAGGGATAGGAGACGCGTTGTCCATCTTTTTTTACAGCCTATGTTCTGAATTCAATGTAAACCACGCTGCCAAGGTTACAATGCTTCACGGGGCTCATTGCTTTTATAAAATGGTTAGCCTGCACTTAAGCCCACACATTGTGTCAAAATTCAATAAAATCTGACATTTTGAAAATTTCTTTGCTCTGCCAAGTAACACACAGACACAATAATACTGATATAATGATGTCACAGGTGTATGTTTCTAGAGTAAAGGCTGGAATACATCACAACTTTTGCCCCGATTTACAGTCTGAACAAGTTGTCACTAATTGCCGAAAGTCAGAGCCAGTCTGCTGATTTGAGTTTACAGATTCCACAGAAAACCGTGTAGTGTATGATGGTCACAGACTCTCATTTTTTAGCATTTAGACTATGATTCCATCCAGTCGCAGGAGATCAAACATCAGACCTCTGCAGGCTTCCTGTTAATACGACCACGTATTGTGCACGTTTTTTTAACAGAGAACATATGAAATTCAGCTGTCGCAATTTTTTTTAACCAGGAAAGGAGTGGTTTTGATGCACAAAATTGTTTTTATTGTCTCAAAAAATATATTTTATTTGAACCCATGAAGGCATATCCTGTTGTAAATAATAATAAAATCACTTTTTAAAACGGCTGTTCCATTATAGCAGATTTTGACTTACATAATATATAAGATTTTAGTCATATGTTTACACCTATTTACACAAAATAATTTAAAATGAGCAAAAAGTCTGAGATGAATAAATCAAGAGGAAAAAAACAGTAAAAACTGTAAAGAATCACTACAGTGAATCAATATACTGACACTGAGAGCTCTAGCAGCTTCCACTCACTTACCCAAGTTATAGAGAAGACTCAGTGCCTGAAACTCCTCTTGATGCTGGTGCTTCCCATCTCTGTAGCTCTCCAGCAACCAGCTCAAGCATTCCTGCAGGTGAGTGTCATTGATGCGCGGGTCAAAATACTGAAGTTGCTGCCCGCAGAGTCTGTAGGAGGCGTAGAGAAGGAAACACACGCTTTTCTCCAGCACGGCCACACAGTCCGGCCCCGACACACGCTGGATAATCATGTCCTGCCGAACACTACGCAGACGGTCAAACACAAAACTGTAGACCTGTGGGTCATAAACAACACAGGATTGAAATGGCCATCATATTACAGATAAAGGAATGACAAGATGCCATTTCCATACCTCCGCCCACGGCTGAAATGTAGAGGAAGCTGCAATGTCATCGACTAGGTGACACACAGTCTTTAAAAGCACAGATGGAGGTCGAAGGTCGCTGGCTCTCGTGGAGTCTTTCCCCGCTGCAGGTCTCGAAAACTCTTTGACGGCACGTGAGACATCAGCACGTGGCAAACGATCCCGCTCTGTGTCGGCCACCATCTCAAACCTGTGCAGACGATTCTGTGCTTCCCGCTGGCGTAATTCATAAGCAGGACACATAGTCATACAGGTGCCATGAGGCACTGAGTCTTCAGC